TGTGAGAGAAGGAGGGTGGTATTAAGGGGCAGGTCACTATCCAGCAGGTCACTATCCTTAGACCTGCAGAAAATTCCAGTACCTCTTTAGATAAAGAGTGGGAGATTAGCACAAAATCCACTGCACTGCTTCCATGTCCTGTTACATAGGTGAATTCAGGGCATTTGTCATAGTGGGGGGTTCCCGTTTAATATTATAAGCCCAAGGCGGGACACCATTTGGATCATACAGAGGTCACCATAATTCACCTTAGTATCTTTGGACATTGTATCATAGCTCGGGGCAAAGATCTCATTGACAACTGCCCCCCTAAGACTAGAAGAAAAGAGTGTGCTGTTATTTGAGCCTTATCTTGCATTAAAGTCCCCCATTATGAGTAACTGGGCTCTAGGAAGTTGCAGGCACTGTCAAGTTAGAATTGAGTGTCCTGTTGTTTATTGTTATCATGGGCTCCAGAGGGGGTTTAACTCTGTACTTAGTTTGTGTCACTACTGGGGAGCCAGGTGCGGGCAACTGATGGTTTGCTGGGTCTTCGTTGGTATTTGGGGGCTGTCCCAAATTCCTCAAAGTTGCAACCAGACTTTCCAGTCAGTGTACTATAGACATCTGCTCACAAATTGGCAGCCTGCTAAAGATATGAGTCTCTACCTCCTCTTCTGGCCAAGCAAGACCTGGAATGATCTTTTTTGTTGTATGGCTATCATCCTTGCATTTTTCTGTAGGAAAACCATAATCATTTTTCCCATCAATTGAATGGTCTTCTAAAATTTGAGTAAGATCTTCCTCAGTGTGCTTCTTCTGGGCATACACTGGATTTTCCCTTTCTGTCTCCCTTGCATACTCACTTAGCAGGTTTTGGTGCTAAGTTTTGGAAATACCTAATGACTGTTATACCTCTCTCGGCTTGTTCGTTTCTTCTGCCCTAAATCCTACTGGTTATTATACTATCCTTACATTTTACAATTGCCCGTGCATGGGTATAATTGTGGAACAAATATTCCACATTTAGAATTTGGGATGTGAATTCAGGAATTATGGGTTCTAAGATATTTACCAGATTACATTTGCGCTCATTCTGTGTAAGTTGGTTTTGGGTATCCACAGAAAGCTAAAGTATGAGTCATTAGTCTCAGCTTCCATGTCGTATTGTTCTCAGGCTTTGTCAGCTGGATTATTGATTGAGTGTTCTCTGTATTGCTCTTTAGCACATCACTCCAGCGGTCATTTTCTACTTCATCTTTACCATCCTCGCTAATACCCTGTATGATAGAGTTGATTGATGATTGATGTGCATTTGGCCAAGCTTCACCAGTACCTACTGTATTTTTCGCACCATAAGACGCATTTTTCCCACAAAACAGGGGGGTGGAAAGTCTGTGCGTCTTATGGAGCGAAGAAAACAGATTATATTTTCCTGTTTTCTTCTCCTAAAAAATTGGTGCGCCTTATGGAAAGGTGCGTCTTATGGTGTGAAAAATACGGTAACTTATCAGAGTTTCTTTTAAGTCTGGAAGATTTTAACTCTTTATTTGAGTTCCTCTCAAGATGTTTAAATAGGTTATGGTAATTCATTTTTGGGTTGGTTTTCTTGATTTATTTGTGTTCTTAATATTCTTGGGCTTTTTAATTAACGATGATGTGGTCTTATTTTTTGCTAATTTTACTTTTTTTACTTGTGCGTCCATACAGAGATCCTTCTTGTGCCCTATTCTTGGTTTCCTGTTTGGAATTTTTACCCTCTTTGGCAGAACCATCCTGTAACAATGCATTATCTTGGTCAGTTCATTTGTTGTTGTTGTTAGGTGCATTTTGTAACTCAGTTAGTTTGGATAGAGTAGTTAATAGCTCATAAGATTCATAGAGGAATATTTTAATTAAGGTCATCTCCTCTAGAATGTCTTTTACCCACTGGAATAGTGTATTAGTGTCAGACTCTCCTCTTGCCTTGTGCCAGTTCATTTATTTGTTTTAACATAAAACCATCTACCTCATTTCCCCCCCTTCTTTTCCACCCTGCTGGAGTCCAAAACGTTTTCTGCAACTGCTAACTCTGTTGACAGGTCAGAAGCATAATCTTCTTTATTTGTTTCTATTATTGAACAACGATACTCAACTGACCAGTCTAGATTGGGGTGGTGGTGATGATATCATTGTAATTTCATTGGTATTTTTAGTGCCCTCCTCTTTGAGAGAAAAGAAATGTGTAATTTTCTTTTGTCTCCCTTTCCTCTCTGCTAATGGAGAAACACCATGTTCTTTATAACCCCATCTAGTAAAAACCATTGTACAAGAGCAGGTTATTCCTGTACTAGACCATAAGATACATATATATAGTAAAAATGTGTATTACTAGGAGTAAGTACTGTATATAGATATACCACGCCAGTAATATTTTTTTAAAATAAAATAAAATAATAATAATAATACTTTTAAAAGAAGATCTTTAAAATTAGTTCGACTTAACAGTGCTAGCAATTCTAGAAGCAGAAAAATTCGAATACATATAAAGGCAAGCATATATTGTAGAATGTACTAATATCGTACTAATATTGTTTGTCCTCTGGTAAGATAGTTCAGTCAGAAGGTCTGGCTTTTTCAGTCTTCTAGCAACTTGCTGGAGCAGGTTTAAAAGTTGGAGAATGGGTTTTGCTCTCAGGCACAGATCTTTTGGTTTGAATATCCTGTCACGGCTTGACTTAAACCCAGAGGTACATGTGCAGATACAAGCACAGAACAGGCGGGCCCTCAATTACTTTGGAGTGCTTAGAGATTCCACAATCAAGTATCTGCCTTAGGCCTCACTCATCCCCTTTTGTCCAGAAATAAAAGCAATCTGTCTTAGTCTTAGTCTGCTTTAGACTTTTCAGCAATACTTTTAAACAGTTGAGGGAAGGCAGAGCAGAAAATTCTATTTGCTTACCGCACCTGATATTCTTGCACTGTGGAGTCGCTGCTTGATTGTATTTGCTTAGCAATGAGGCCGTGAGGTTATACAGCTTTCAACCAAAGTTGTAAGGTTGTAAAGGCAAATACACGTCCACTAGCTTCCAAGGGCTTGGGAGGTCACCAGAATGCAAGCTGTAAATCTCTGTCCATGTTTCACACTTGCTCTAGTAAAAATGAGGAACCAGCATCTCCACCTCGCTTCCCTTACTGGTGGGCTTTTATCTCAAGGGAGAAGGTGATGGCCCCGACACAACCTCTGCCTGAATATAAATTCTTCAGAGCCATAAAGTTAAAGCAGCCATTCTCAATGAGAGCGATCCGGGGGGGAGGGGGCTTGGGACATCTGAAGGGGACCACAAGTTCATCTGTTTGTGTTGTATCCTTGTCTGCATACAGCCAAAGACTCTCCTTGTTTGACAGGAGGCCTGAGAAGAGCTCAAAAAAAAAAAACAAAACACCAAAATAAGAGAGAAAAGAAAAGAAAAGAAAAGAAAAGAGGTTGAGAATGGCCGGTTTAAAGATAAAACTGGAGTACCGGTATGATTCCTAGGGAGGGTTATATTTTGATCCAGGGCATGGAAAAGTTACCATTTGAAAACCGATCCCAGACCTCCCAAGCCAGCACAGCAACAGGGAGATTCTGGACATCATAGTTCAACCATTTGTTTTCCAAGCTCTGAATCAGTGAAGGGTTGTTAACTTGAATCCTTGAGAAAGTGGATTCCTCAAATGACTGAAGATAATCTACTGTGCTCAAGTCTTTTAGATATGTTCATCCTGTTTCATTTCAATAACACAGTTTGGACAATTTTGCTCATCAATTTGCTTCATTTATTTCAATTATAGATAAATGTATATTATTTTAGCACAAAGAAAAATCTCTGTGTACAGAGATACTGTGATTGATATAAGATACGTACAATCTCCTCCAATGTTCATGGTGAGTTTTAATTAGAAAACTGAATTTTGTACATTTCTTTTTCAAAGTGAAATTGGATTTTATACTTGATTTGTAAAATCTGCTTTACTCAGGCTGTAGACTAATTTTCCATGGCTTGAATAAAACATGGAAATTAAATTAAATTGAATGTTAACTGTTTCCTGACTTTCTCCCCATTTCTGTTATTTGAACAAAGAAAGGTTAATGCCCTTCTTTAATCAGCTCATTATTTTATTATTCCAACCTTCTCATTTTGATTCACTCCTGGGGTGGCTGCCTATATACCAGAAGATGAGACCTGACTCAGCTATGAAGGTTAAAAGAAATTACAAAATATGATGGCTATGAACTCAGGGCACTGCTGTGACTGAAGCACTTCCCACATTTCAAGCATTTATACCTTTTCTCCCCAGTGTGAATTCTTTGATGTGAATTCAGCTGACTGCTGTGACTGAAGCTCTTTCCACATTCTGGGCACTTATATGGTTTCTCCCCAGTGTGAGTTCTTTGATGGGAACTGAGACTACTGCTGCCACTGAAGCTCTTCTGACATTCCATGCATTTATATGGTTTCTCCCCAGTGTGAGTTCTTTGATGGGAACTCAGGGCACTGCTGTGACTGAAGCACTTCCCACATTTCAAGCATTTATACCTTTTCTCCCCAGTGTGAATTCTTTGATGTGAATTCAGCTGACTGCTGTGACTGAAGCTCTTTCCACATTCTGGGCACTTATATGGTTTCTCCCCAGTGTGAGCTCTTTGATGTCTACTTAGGGCACTGCTGTCACTGAAGCTCTTCTGACATTCCATGCATTTATATGGTTTCTCCCCTGTGTGAGCTCTTTGATGTCTACTTAGGGCACTGCTGTCACTGAAGCTCTTCTGACATTCCATGCATTTATATGGTTTCTCCCCTGTGTGAGCTCTTTGATGTCTACTTAGGGCACTGCTGTCACTGAAGCTCTTCTGACATTCCATGCATTTATATGGTTTCTCCCCTGTGTGAGCTCTTTGATGTCTACTTAGGGCACTGCTGTCACTGAAGCTCTTCTGACATTCCATGCATTTATATGGTTTCTCCCAAGTGTGAATTCTTTGATGGGTAACGAGGCTACTGCTCTGACTGAAGCTCTTTCCACACTGTAGGCATTTGTACTGTCTCTCACCTCTCAGGGATGTTACACGTGAAGTACAATCACTGTGCATTGTGAAGCTCTTTCCTTGTTCAATGTATTGGCTTCGTTTCTCCTCTGGGTAGACTTTGTCAAGTCTACTGGCATCTGAGGCAAACTTGAATGTTTATGTGCATAGGGAACCGTTTCTCCTTCCTTTTTTCCCTGTTGATTTTTTCAGATGATCAGAGAAGTGCATCAACATCATTAACAGAAGCTGGAAATTTCTTTTTCCCTTTTGTTTTCTGACTTCCTTTCTTCACTTTTTGCCTTTTAATTGTGTCAGTTTTTTTCATCCTTCATACATCTTTTTTCCCCACTAAAAGAATCACTGGGTAAATAGAATTCCATTTGTCCTCTTCGTCACCTGATGGAGAGAGAAAAAGAGATGAAAGAAGGGTCCTATCTTCCAAAAGAGTAACCAGTGACCTGCAGCCCTCACAGTTTGACATCCATCTTAGGGAAAATTCCTGAGGCAATTACAAAGCAGACACTCTGCAAGCAACTTAAAAACAATGCATTAACAACTGAAAGCCAGCATAGAAAGAAGGAAAGAACTGGGCGTGTTTAGCTTCGAAAAAAAGAAGCCTGAGGGGAAAGACATAATAGAACTCTTACCTAAAGATGGGCCAAGACAGTGTTCCGTCTAGTTGTGCTGGCCACGTGACCACGGAAACTGTCTACAGACAAACGCTGGCTCTATGGCTTGAGAATGGGGTGAGCACCGCCCCCTAGAGTCAGACATGATTGGACATTTATCAACAGGAACCTCCCACACCCCACAGGCCAGCTGGGCCAGTCATGTCTCATCATGCACTTCTGGGGTCCATCTTCTCCCTGGTAGTGTCCCCCAAATCATGGGATTTGGAGACTACTTCTATTCATGCAGCCTAAAACAGCATTTGCCTTTTTTGTAGCCACATCACTCCGTCAGCTCATATTTAGGTTGCGATCTACAACAATTCCGAGATCCTTCTCACTTGTAGTTTTGCTGAGCTGGGTATCCCCCTTGGAACTGTGCAATTGGTTTCTTATTCTGAGGTGCAGGACTTTGCACTTATCCCTGTGGAATTTCATTCTGTTGCTTTCGGCCCAGGCCTCCGTACTATCAAAGCCATTCTGGTCCATGCGCTTGGAGCCTCGAGATTAGACTACTGTAATGCGCTCTACTAATGATGACAAATAAAGCATAATTTAGAACTTCAATATGTGGCGGAACGCCTCCTCCTCCCACCTAGATCTACCCGAATCGCTTACTTTAGTCAAGATGGTTGGCTGAGGGGGCTGATGCCGAGGAAGGCCCAAACAGAAAGAACAAGAAACCGGGCTTCTCTGCAGTGGTCCCTCACCTTTGAAACAGTGCCCCTCCGGAGATCTGCCTGGTTGCCTCACTGGGTGTTTTTAAGAGCCAACTCAAGACCTGGCTCTTTAGACAGTTCTGTCCACCTGTCAATACTTAATTTATAGATATCCTTATAGATATCCCAAAGAAAAGGAACTGAGTGTGCAAGACTCATTGCAAATGCAAACAAAGCAAAGCAAAAAGCAATCAAGTGTGCGAGATTCATTGCAAATTGATATGGGGGAAAAATAAAAAGGACAAAAACTCCTGAAGACCCATCGCAAATGGGGGAAGAAAAACCAAAAAGCAAGGAAACCCCCCAAGATCCATCGGGAATGGGGGAAAATACAAAAAACAAGGAAACCCCCCCAAGACCCATCGCAAATGGGGGGTCAAAAAACCAAGGAAACCCCCCATCCGAAATGGAGGAAAATGCAAAAAGGAAGGAAATCCACCAAGACCCATCGGAACTGGGGGGGGGAATAAAAAAAAGCAAGGAACCCCCCCAAGACCTATAGGAAATTGGGGGGAATCCAAAAAGCAAGGAAACCCCCCAAAACCCATCAGAAATGGGAGGAAATCAAAAAAGCAATGAATCCCCTCAAGACCCATCAGAAATTGGGGGGGACTTCCAAAAAACAAGGAAACACCCCAAGACCCATCAGAAATGGGAGAAAAAGCAAAAAAACAAACAAACCCCTCCAAGACCCATCACAGCACAGAAACATAACCCCACCAGCCCAAAACCATGCTGCAAAAACACCCAGAACAACTTTTTAAAAGCAGAAAGCAGCACCTTACCTTACCAGGCAGTCCCAAACCTCCCTGTAAACACACACATGCTCGCTCAGAAGCAGAAGCTAGGCAGTCCCAAGCCTCCTCCGATCGCACACTCTCTTAACTCAGTGGTCAGGGAACAGGGGTAAATTACCCCAAATGGGGTAAAAATGAAAATCCTAGGGGTAATTTTGGACACGACTCTAACCGCCTTCCCTCCTCCTCTGCCCGGAGGGGGGTCCCCGGCTCCCCGATCATCCCATTCCCACCCCCTTCTCCGGCCTGGCTGTGGACCTCTGAAGTACACAAAACCTTTTATACTTAAAGATCACCTCCTGAGGCTTATTTTCTAAAGTGCTAGGCTTTGGTGAGGGTGGATACCAAGAACAACTGGGTAAAGAAGGGGACTTCTACAGCTAATTCTCACCTTAAAAAGCTGGCCTTCCGCTGTGCGTTTTACTGGAAAGTAAGCAAGTTCCCAGAGCTCTCAACAGAGTTGCAGAAAGGTATTTCTTAAAATGTGCAGAAAAAAGAGCCTGCCCCCCACAACACCCAGAGACCGTACAATTTGGATTGGGTCCCTCCTCCCACTTGGTCTGCAGTGCATGAAGGCCTTGCAAGTGGAGGGAGGTGGAGGCATCTATTGTTCTCTTGTGCTTCCTCATCTTCCTCCTTGGGGGTGGTAAATTTGGAGGGGGGGCAGATGCGAAGTCTGGGAGGGGACTCGATCCCACGCTCCCCCACCTGAACAAGACACCAGGGCCCTTTCTCTGTGCATTTCCTGGGTCCTCCTCGGCTTTCATGCCAGGAGACCCCCTTCTTTCCCCAGATCCTGCAGGCACCCTTTTGGGGGGTGGCAAAGGTGGAAAGGAGGGAGCGTGGCTCAGAGCTCTTCCCCCCCAATTTCTCTTTCCTTAAGGTAACCCACCTCCGGCCTCACCCCCAGGTGGTAAGTGGGCTATGGAGTGCAGGGGGAAGGAGGTGGGGAGGGGGCTGCAAGTGGGGTACACTAGGGGGTCCCAGAAATGGGGCTTTGGTGGAGAAGAGGGGGTCAGATGAGTGTGACGGGGATCCCTTCCTCCCCCCTGTGATGAGATGTGTTTTTATGGGTAAGCCTGTCTCAATAGAATCCATTTTAAATTAGGATTTCTGTGTAGTTTCTGAGATGAGCCACCGTGGCTATCTCTTATCTAGTTACTAAGGAGAAACATTCCTGGTAGCCAAAGCATTTCTGTAGCTCTCGTGGGAATATGGGG